CAGGCCTGCGACTGGCCTCCCACCGGCCTCCGGGCCTCCGCCTTTCCCCCAACTATAAAATAAGCGCTTGTCGCCGTAGAAAAATGGAACAGAAAAGAACAACAAAGGACGCACTGGAGCCAAACTCCGCCCGCCCCGGCGCAGCCCGAGTTAGCGTGAAGTAGTGTTTCCTTCCTTTTCCTTTTCTTTTTCCTTGTAAACCTGAGCCGCTGTCTGCAGAGCCTGAACTATCACGCCCTGAAACGTGGCGCGCACTCTCACGGGCGTCCACCCTGGGTTAAGTGTTTTTCTTCATCCTTTTCACTGGCTACTACGCTAGTATGAGTTCTGGACTGACTAACTACGGCGTCCATCCGCAGCACCGGCCCCGGGTTGATGTTTAATTTGTTGAGTGACAGGACCCTGATTTACCTAAGGGAATCCTTTCATGATGGTGAACTTACAGGTGGCTTTCTGGCTTTAACTATTACAAAAAGCATTTCATTGAACACCCACCGTCTGGTTTGGGGAAGCATGATTATTTGCTTAGGGTATATCCCTCATGAGGCAAAATGATGCTCTGAAAAGTTCTTCTCGTTTTTGTGTCCCACGCCTCCACCCCGTCCTCACAGTATTTTAGAAGACTTGGCCCAAGGAGCTTCCAGACAGGAGGTCCCAGAACCAATCTCCTAGGTGTTGAAAAGGACTGCCTTGTAGCTGGCTGTCCCTGGAGCTTTTGCTGAAAAGCTTAAATTAAGGGAAAATTCAAGCTGGGTTTAAATGAACAATGGAACATTTTAATAGTCATACTCTGAAACGTGTGTTGGGTTGCTAGACAAAGTATTTTAGAAGGTTGTGCTGATGTTGGGCACTAGATACTCAAGTTTTCATGAAAGGTATGTAAAGAATTTCAAATGAGTGACATCATCCCCATAAGTGAAAATAAAATGGAATTTGTTTATCCATCCTTTTCATCTTTGTAATAAAACAGAGGGAACTTTCCAGTTTGGTCACATGATCCTAAAATCAAATGTATGTTTAAGAGTTTTAAAATGACAGTGGATTCATTCCTTTCTTGCAACTTATATGGCACAGCCTTCCTTGCTTATTCTTCCCATTTGGCAGCGCTGGGATCCTTTCTCTATGAATCCACTCTATCCTTTACTGCTTTCCTTTACAACGACTGCCTGCTTTTGTCATCATGTCTTAATCTTTCTAAAATCCCCTACTATGAGCTTAGTGTCTGTCTCAGTGATGATATACTGGATGAATTTAGAATGTGACATGTGTTTATTAAAACCCATTACTTGGCATTCAAGTGAGTAAAATAGAAACTGGGAACAAGGTTGGCTGTGATTTGACGTTGGTTATAGGTGTCATCACAATCCAAGAAGCACTACCAGCAGGGTACTTAGGGCTTTTTTAAAAAATAATAATGTTGAGGTATAATCCACTTATGATTGACCCAGTTAAAGTATACTGCTCTGGCCCTCCCTGGTGGAGCAGCAGGTTAAAGCACAGCACTAAGATGCTAGAGCCACCTCAGCATGAGTTCGATCCTCCATCCCCCCCAGGTGACCCACCTAGGGCAGCAGACCGCTCCTGACCCATCCTCTGCTCCCCTCAGCAGTATGCTTTGTTGATCTGCCTGTTCTGCTCCCCACTCTATGGTGAATCTTCTCACCACTACTGTACCCCAGTTCTGTATGCACAAATTTTTAAGTATTCTGCTCACTGTTTTAAGAACAGTTACAGTATTAATTTTTAAGTTGTAGTAAGCTGTTTTAATTATTTTTGAAGTGCACTGTTCAGTGGCATTACGTACATTCACATTGTACACCCATCAAAACTATTTTGGAAACACTATTTCCAAAACTTTTCTACTACTTTAAGTTAAACAGATATTCTATTAATAAATGTTGAGTGTATAAATGAATTTGATAGTTTAGAGACAAATATTTAAAAATAAAAGTGTTTTTGAATTCTAACCTCCCTTCTAATTTGTTATATTGTCTTTTATATACTTCTTTATGGGAAAAGTTGTAATTAAGATGGCATTGTGCTTTATCTTAGGGTAATAATATTTGAGGTTCTTTATAATAGAAACCAGGCCAATTCTTTCAAGTTTGCTGAATTACTACACATTCTAGAGTCTCAAAAAGTTGTAGAGCAAAATTTGAATGATATTCCTAAGTCCACTTTGATTTACAAAGATGCCTTAAACAAATCGGTATTGTGCTGTGTGGCTTATTCTTTTGCTGTATTTTCTCTTTGCTTTTGTAGTTGCAGGATACTCTCCATTTTCCTAGGAGATATCCTAGGGCTTCTTAAGACTAGAAAAATCCACAAAATTATAAGGTTCTAACTTAGAAAGAAGGATTTACTTTAGGTACAAAGTGTTTTGAATCTTAAACTTTAGGCAACTATAGATCTGAGCTTAAAGCTGGGGTGATGGTGGGGGGTCCTCCCTGGTGACACATGGAGTTAAGCCTCAGCACTATCAAGCTATCTGCAACCACTGCAACGCGAGTTTGATCACAGCCTGGGAGTTGCCCCACATGACACAATAGACCTCTCTTGCCTTGTCAGCAGCTTCCCTTAGCAGAACAGATTTGCCTGTTCTGCTCTCCATTCCGTCTAAGATGAATCAGCTCACTCCTGGCACCTCTGGCCTACACCCAATTCTTGTATGCATACATAAATACAAATAAATCTTAAAAAAAAAAAAAAAACAGGATGGAAAGCACAAGGAACCACAGTAATGGTTCACAAGTGATGTGGTGGTGGGATATTTATGACTACAACTGAGGGGACGTAGTCAGGCTACATTTGAGGGGAGAAGTCAAATACTATAGAAAATGAATAACAATGTTAAAAAGTTTAAAAATCAATAAAAACAAAAATGTTTTTAATCTTTCCCTAGTTTTCATTCTAAAATTCTTATGTGTTCTTTGCTTATTGTATTGTTTTTAACTGAGGTGAGCAAACCTTTTCAATATTATCTTTCAAAAAGCGATTTGTGATATTTTACTGTTTCCAGCCAAAAAGATTGGCAATATCTCATTTTTT